CCCAAAAGGTTGTGGGCAGATCTCTTAGTTTTCTTTACAGGATTCACAAATTTTTTTCAACAAGAAATAAATTAGTGTTGATATAACAAAACAACACAGCAGCATCATAGTAGGGTCACTTTTTATCCCGAACTATTATTTTTCTAGCACATGAAGAATACAAACAATGGCAAGCAAGAGATTAGGATCTTGTAAAGCTGAAGGATTCCTAACAGTGCATATGACTGGAACTGTAGCATGAACTGGCATTCCATCCCCATCCAAAATTCTTCACAGCTGAATGCTCTACTTAGGATTTTGAGTTGTCTTTATAAAGTACCAATGTACTCATGTCTCCATTCTTCTCTATACCTCAACACAAACATTCTTCCCAACTTTTGCTGTGATCATCTGAAGCAAAACCAAAGGAGGAGATTAATCATCTTCCTGATGATATTTCACCTTTTACAGGTGAAAATAATGTAATCAAAGAGAACAGACATTATTCCTGCCTTATCACAACACGCAGATATTTCAATTAACAAAGTACACAGACAAACTAGAAAGAAACTTGCTCTCACATTTCTCCTTTTCTCTTTGTCCCTTCAAAGTTCCTCTCAGATGATGGAACATCTGCCCAAGTACTGACCTTCTCTAACCTGAGGCATATTCAGTGTAAGAAATCTCAGATTGCTATTTTTTCCTCTCCAAGTAAGAAAGTTCTGAGCATTAATGAAGGAGGGCTCTATTAAAAGCTGCCCATGCAAACATCAAGCAATGGCAGGACACGAGCACATAACATATTAGCAGATGTTGAAGAACTACTTGCAAATGTTTTCCAGTTTAGGAAAGAGAGAAAAGGGGTTACATCTAAGCTCATAAGTCTTCAGAGTGATCAAGAAATTCAAGCTCACTTTACCACTTTACCCAACCACTCCATTAATCCAGCAGCTCCACAGAAATACACATTCCACATCAGCCCCACAGCACTGGGACAGCGTGCAATCACTTCAGGCCTCTCAGGTTTAACACACTGCAGATCCCCCTACAAAAATACATTTTATCAGTTAAACAAACACGCAGACAGGAACTCCACAGCAGAGGAGCCAGCCCCAGGATATCCCTGCACGTGTCAGCAGGCACACAGGAAGAACCACTGCAGCCAGCAGGGCCACGAGCACACGGTCCCAGCTCACACGCAGGAACTCATCTTGCACATGCAACAGGGCATGCCAGGCACTGCTTCTGACTGTGCCAGCAGGCATGCAGCAACACGTTACCCTTGGACAACAGTCACCCATCCTACACTTTTCCCCTGCCTCTGCACCAAAGCTTCCACACTGGAGATGAGGACAGCAGATCTGTGAATAACTTCTGAAACCCTGACCTGAATCAGACAGCACATGTTTAGGTGAATTAGCCCAGTTATGCCCACCTGAACCGGCTGATGTGAAAACTGCGACATCTGAGGAGCACACTGAATGCTCCTAATCCCAAAAGCACAGATGGTGTTAACGGGTTTTTAGCTCTTCTGTTCAAGGGTGCAGCTTGACAGTGTAACTGGGGGAAATGCAACTGCTCCCAGAACATGCTGCCTCTGTCACCTCCACCCCAGCGTGCCCTGCTGTGCCAAGCGCTTATACCTGCATGTCTGCAGGACAGGCCACGCCAGAGAATCAGTATGCAAAAAATCCTTCCCCAGCTCTTGAACAGAGATACCACGACTGACACCCACAGGGCTGTTATCACCAAACACCGACCTGGAGGAGGAAGGGATGCTGCCTTCTGGGGGCTGAAAATCCATCAAATGGTCACAGCGACCCTGTGCCTGGCACTGCTTTTTGTCACCTCTGGGCCCATTAAGTCACAGGGCTGGAGCCCCTCTGCTATGGAGACAGGCAAGGAGAGCTGGGGGTGTTCAGCCAGGAGAAAAGAAAACTCTAAGGAGACCCTAGAACCCCTTGCAGTGCCTGGAAGGGCTCCAAGAACACTGGAGGGACTTCGGACAAGGGCCTGGAGTGACAGGACAAGGAAGAATGGCTTTCCACTGACAAAAAAGCAGGGTTAGATGGGATACCGGGGAGAAATTCGGCCCTGGGAAGGTGCTGAGGCCCTGGCACAGGCTGCCCAGAGCAGCTGTGGCTGCCCCATGCCTGGAAGTTCCCAAGGCCAGGTTGGATGGGGCTTGGAACAACCCGGTCTAGTGAAGGTGTCCTTGCCCGTGGCAGGAGAATGAACTGGACGAGCTTTAAGATTCCAACCCAAACCATTCTGTGAGTCTATAAAAATGGAGCGAGCATCATCATATTCCTTCCTGACTGTACACACAGTGAAGCACAAAAAAGTTGGAAATTAACGACAGACGCACAGAGAGAGATTTAAGGTTTTACCTACAGCTAGGAACAGCTATTGAAACTAAAATAAAACTGTCCTTCCAGAGTATCCAGCTGCACACTGTGTGCCCGTTTGGAGGAGTTCCTGCGGGGCCTCCAGCAGGCGCCGGCCGCAGGGGCCGCGGGCGGGCGGTGCAGCGCAGGCCCGCCCGAGCCCGCCGCCCTCTCCCTCTCCCGGCTGCGGGCCGGGGGCTCCGGCAGGAGCGAGATCGG